GAACATGCACATGCAGAATCTATGAGCACAGAGGACCAACTGTAATTCTGCTGGATGGACAATGATGATTCTTGCAGTTTCCGCTCATTCTCCATACCTTTTGGATGTATTCTTTTCTTGAGTACGAAGAACACTAACTTATTTTTTTTCTGAGTTTCCAGGATCCTGTGTCATGATTAATATCTTACCTCCTATCTTAGCTCATTGGCAAAACCCAATCCAATGGATCCTCCTTTTGCTACTGTTGCTTTTTTTTTTTTAAGCAAGTCTCCCACCCTTTACCTCTCTGCCTCCTTGCTAGGCATTTAACATGTCTGCCTCTTGTTTATAGAGTTAACTTGAAACATGCATTCTCTCTTAACGGACCCAAAAGTCCAACACATAGAACCAATTGTCAAAGGATCTCTGTGAACTAAACACCTCACTTATTCATAATTTTTAAGTCACAAGTGTCCAAATTCCAAATACAGTTTATCTTGGAAAAAGATTTTTTTTCCTTGTACATCCTTCTAAACTGCTCTCCTCATATAAACCACAGCCATACCTCAAAACCACAGCAGCCAAAGCGCTCCCTAGCCTGACTTTACAGACAATAAAACTGCCAGGTGGTAGAAAAAAAAAATTTAAAAAGCCAAAAAAAAATTCCCATCATTAAATGGAATGTTGTTGAGAAATAGCTGTTTTATTTAACAGCTATTCATTTTTATTGAATAAACATTTTCTAGAATGCATTCTGTTAATTGACCTGACAGCATATGCTGTATATGGAGAAACTTCTAAACATTATGCTCTATGTAATATGCTTATCTGAAAAGGCTCTCATTGCAGCAATATGGAAATAAAATGCTGCTTTTCTAAATTACAAGACTTTTGAAAACTGCATTAATCCTCACAGTTTTGTGAAAATGCTCTGGACATTTTAAAATCTTTTCTTTAAGGGGCAGAGGGAGGCAGAACTTTAGTAAATAGTAATAGTATTTGTGGCTGAGTTTTATGATGGAGTAGTAGAGCTCCAAAAGAGAACTTCTACGGACTTAAAAATAGGGCAGGCATCATAGGAAATAAAAAGCAGTTGTCATATTGGGGCTACAAGAAAATGTTCAGGCTCTACCGATGTTACATGATTAGAGAGCGATTGTTATAATAGTCCTGTGGGCCAGATATGAACCCAGGTGAAACTTTACAGAAATAAGATATTTCATTTTGAAGAAAGTAGACAACTTGCAGTGTATTTATTGGTTGCTCATAGTGTCTTGGTGACTCCTTCCAACTAATGACAGCATATCTCCTTGGATAATGGCTTCTGAGCGATGATTGCATCTGCCAGGCCAGAGTCACCAGCGCTACTACCTAGAATAGAGAACAGAGGCGCTCTCTGGGGGGGAGGGGGGGCCTGCGGTGACCCACAGGGCTGCTGGCTCCCTGTCTTGAGCAGTCATTCATCTCCCAACCACTGCTGCCCTTGTGAGGCCAGCGGCCCAAGGTTATCAGATATTTTGAATTTTTGTCTTTATTTTACTTTAGTTTTTGGTTTCGGTTTTCAGAGAAGACAGAAAAATCCCAATTCCTCCCATTTTCCTAGGTTGTCAACTAGATAATTGGTTAAACACAAATTCTGGTTTGGACCCAACTTGACAAACCTAGACACCAAACTTGTGTAAGTGTATAAGTCACCACACTACGGTGAGTCTTCGTGGATGAACTGGTATGTTGGTTAACAGGAAGCACACGTTAGAAAGGTTTGCATTTATTTGTTTTTAACACCCAGGGTGCTGGCGTAACTGGGAAATCCTATAACATCGAGTTTAGCTCACAGCATAATTAACTTGTGTTTGAGACCAAGTCCTTTTTCAGTCAGATCTTTGTGTTCCATGGACTTTCTAGCATATTTTACAGTTCTAATTCTCTTCCACTGTCCTACATTCATCAAAGCTGTAACCCCTGTTGTCTTTGTACTATGGAACCAGAATGTGCCCCTGGCGAGGAATGGGGGAAAAGTCAACAGGAATTAAATTTCAGTGCAACTGTTTACTCAACTGTGGCCTGCAGTTATTGAAATTTTATCCGTGGTTTTGTGTGACTACCGCAGTAATGAATTCAGCATGGCTGCGATTTTCCCACTGCTGGTATTCTCACTTCAAGTAAAAACCTGTAGCATAAAAATGACGAAAACAACCAAAGACCAGTCTGACACTGGTGTTTCTCCCAAGTGTCTTAATTGCTGCAGTTTTGGATCTGGAAAAAGCAGTTGAAGACGTCAGTTCCACCAACCATTTTCATTCTTGTATTTTTTCTCATTTCATTTACCGATGATTACTTTTTCCTAACAACCTGGGAAGAGCCTGGTTAGTTATAAGAAAAAGAGCTATTGATAATTTATTTGAACAGACCTAAGGAAGCTGACAACTACAGAAACCAGGAATTTAGCCACAAATAATAGCCCCTACTGCTTTCTTCCTCCCCAAAACATATCAGTGGCAAATTTTTAAAAAATTCTACAATTTTTTAAGCCTCCAAGTACAATCAAAACCAGTTTCTTGCCCTTTTTATCAAGAACCCATAACAACAAATTTTCAAGAGTTCTCCCAGCCAAGGTTAAAAAAAAAGATGTAGATAACTAATTTTGCTACTGATTTTTTTTTCTTTTGTAGATTTTGGGGATTAAACGCAGGGCTGGGAACTGTCCTGGAGCTGCTTCTGCTAGTGTTCTAACATCTGAGCCATCTGGATTTTTGTGTGTAATTTATTGGAGATGAGAGTCTCACAAACTTTCTTGACCAGGCTTAGAAGCGCAATCCTCAGGTCTCAGCCTCCTGAGTAGCTAGGATTACAGGTGTGAGCCACCAGTGCCTGGCAGCTACTGGTGCTTTTTAAGGAATGAACTTAATGTGCTTTCATAACTTTTCTGTGAAGTCAATTTGCTATTTATTTGTTTATTTTTTGGCCAGTCCTGGGGCTTGAACTCAGGATCTGGGGACTGTCTCTGAGCTATTTTGCTCAAGGCTAGTGGTCTACCACTTGAGTCACAGATAACACTTCTGGCTTTCTTGGTAGCTAACTGGAGATAAGTAACCCAGATATTTTCACCCACGCTGCCTTAAGCATAATACTCAGATCTTAACTACCTGAATGGCTAAGATTATATGTATGAGCATTGGTACTCAACTGTCAATTTGGTGTATGTGTGATATACTGTATACATAAAGCTTTCTGGCTAACCACTTTGGTATCCTGAATGTCAGTCAATTCTTTGAGTAAAATTCAAAAGATATTAAACTCCCATCTATTTAATTAATGTACTCTAAATATTAATTATTTGGGAGTTATAAAAGTCAATAAGAGCACTTCAACTGGTCCATATTTGATCTTGACCTCTGTCATGTATGGCATAGAAAGCAGTACTCTAAAAATACCAACATTTATACAACCATAAATAGCTAAGAATATCATATAAATGTATGGTAGCACATATCGCCTTCTACTATTTATGGTTGGGATTCACTAAAAATCTTATGGATTAAAATTTGACCACTGATACTAGCTTAAATGTAGAAAATGGAATACACAACTATCATCATAAACTCTAGATCACAGACTGCCTGGGTGCAGGCACAAAGACAGCAATGAGAGACAAAATCACACCTACCATGCCCTCTGAAGTAAGCTCTGGCTGGTCTGCCAGTTTCTCCTCTTTCCTGTATCTTTCCCCAACCGAGTCTACAGAAGCTGTCAAATGCCCAAGGGAGGGCTGGGAATGTGCCTTAGTGGAAAAGTGCTTCTTAGCACGCATGAAACCCATTCTCAGTACCACATAAACAGAAAAAGGCAGAAGTGGCTCTGTGGCTCAAGTGGTAGAGCACAAGCCTTGAGCAAAAGAAGCTCCTGGAGAGTGCCCAGACCCTGAGTTCAAGACTCAGGAATGGCAAAAAAAAAAAGCTCAAGGGAGTCCTAGAAGGTAGTTTAGGAGGTTTGCCTTTCTCTCATTCCATCCGCCAACAATCTCTGCTTCTTTCAGAAAGGCCTGAAGAAGGTCATTTTTAGTTTTATTTTTCCATAACTATGAATTGAGCACAAAATTCAACAGCCATTCTCCATTATCACTAAGAAAGTTAATACTTCTCATTTCAACAGAGGTTAGGAAGTGAAGCCAGGCTGCGAGGCCATGCTGTTTACAGCATCTCTTGTTTACACAATGTCTTGAGTCACTTTTGCCATTTGGAAAGCATGTAGTAGATGTCTACACGTATACCTACATCTTACATAGCAGGAAAAGTGTCACAGGAGTCAGAGACACAGGAGTCAGGAGTCGGGAGTCACAAGAGGCAGAAATAAGGGAAAAGCTAAAACACCCATAAGATCCACCTGTGTACCCCACACCCCTGAGTTCTGAAGTACGAGCATGTAATTTCTCCAAGGGGATATCTGTTATAAACATACTACTTATTTAAACAACATAGCAATAATGATTATATTTGTGCTTCCCCTGTCCTATTCACCAAATCTTTTTCTCTCTTGCAGCCCTTATGTCTCTTTTTGATCCCTCATCTCTGATTTTCCTTTACTTCATCAGCTTTATACACATAAAGCCTGTGTGTGTGTGTGTGTGTGTGTGTGCATGTGCATGCATGCATGGGCTGTATACCAGTACTTTGTGAACTTCTTGGGTATTTAAGCTAAAGCATTAGGAACTACTTCTCCAAAGAGGAACTTTGTTCAAAGTTAGGTAACACACTGGGTCCCAAAGGAAGAGAACCAAGGTCTCCCTGGCCTCCAGTCTCCACAATTGCACCCTAAAGGGAATTACCAAGTCTTCTAGCTCCCTGAGGTCTGAAACTTAAATCTCTGAAGCCAGCGCCACCCAAGAACCCTGTAGAACAGGTGGATAAGAAGATCTTGCTTACTTCAGACAGGTACGCACAAAACATGGACAATGGCTGAGTTAAAAAAAAAAATCACCTGGTAAAATTCACACTGACTACCCATACCTCCCAGAGTTGTACCTGCTGCTGCTGCTGCTGCTGCTGCACGTGAGCGAGGTCGGCTGCCCCCAGATCTACAGCTGGAGCTTCCCCGTTGGCACGGCCCTCGCGGAGGGCACTGCACTCTAGCAAGTGATTGCTGCCGCTGGATCCATTCTGGATGGCTGACCCATTACTTTTAGTTTCAGTCCCAGATTCTTGCATCATGACTCAAAAACCTGATAGAAGGGTTTTCAGGAAGGGTGGAGGGAAGAAGAGGGAAGGGGGGGGGGAGAAAGAGAGAGAAAGAGAAATGCAGCTGTTAAAACAGTTGTTGTACATAGGAAAAGGGGTCTCTGCTTTAAACGCTGCCAAACTCTCTACACAGTTGTCTTTTTCTTTCACTCCATTTCTTTCATGTTCTGGTACCTTTCCCTTAGTGCAGGAATATGGAACCAGGAACCAGCCTAATGCAGGTTTCAGTGTGGTCGTAAATATGTCATCATTTCCCCTGAGTAAAGAAGGAACACATTCAGGTAAAGCCTAGAATTTAGGATGACATGTCTCTGGTATCTATGTAGATAGGTGGCTCAAAAACCAGAAAGCCCTCCTCAGGAAACCGTCAGGTGTAACATTAACTTTTAATGTGTCCAGGTGCTTCGTGGTGATGCCAGGCTCAGAGAAGAAATATTCTTCAACTTCTGTCCATCAGGTGATGACAGGCATTACGGAGGCCGGGAGGCTCCCGATGTACTAGAGCCTAGAAAATCTCATAGTCCAATACCATAGCATTTGAAGGATTCAAACTGAGGTACAGAAACACGTCAGGCAGCTTTCGGGACATGAGAAGGGGTAAAATCTTCATTTTTCTGACGCTATACCAATCAGACTTTGATCTTTATTTTACAAGTAAACCAGTCAGAGTCAGATTCTTCTCCTGGTAGATGAGTTATCGCTAACGTGGTCTAAGGAGAAAAAGTTACGGGTTGGTATTATTATATTTAATTCGAAAAAAATCTCTCCTAGGAAAACCCAAGAGAAGGTCTGAATTTTAAATATGCAATGTTGGGATGGGGATGTGGATCAAGAGGGTGAATGCTTATTTATGCTAGTTTTGAACTTGCCACCTTATTACCTCAGCCTTCCCAGGACTGGAGTTACAGGAGAGTACTATCATACTTGGTATTGTTACTTATTATTACTTTCTGAATAATTACCCGGGGAGCCAACTTAGCTCTTGGCTCAATGAAGATACCCAGGTATGAAAAAAGACAGATGTTTGCCAATAAGTGTTACCAAGTATGGATCACGCCAGATCACAGACCTGCCCCCAATCTGCCGATGAGAAACCTGAGCCCAGAGAATGAGGTGAATTTGTCCACTACATGTCATAGCTGGCATAGTGGGAGTCAGGGCTTGAGCCAGTCTGCTCTGATGTCAAATTCTCAAACCAGTGGGTTTTCTTAAGGGTGACGTGCAGAGAGAGCAAAACAATGGAAAAGGCAGGGTCACAGACCAAGTTCACAGACTCAGACTCAGAACGGAAAAGCAAGAGCCACTAAAGGAAGCAGACAGTTCAAACATCAAAGTCGAGAAAGGTCTGAATAACCAAGACTTCAATTTGAAACACAAATCTTAGAGAAAAGGACAAGAAACTTACCAGATGACTTTGTTCCAATCACAGCAAGACATATAGGAATGTGCTACACATTTTGTCCTATAGCTCCCCTACATGGACTATGGGCCAACCGAGGAACTTAAGACACTTCTAGCACCTTTAGAGGAGCTTGTCCTTCTGTTACAAATTGGCTTAATACCAAGAACAGTGGTTGATACCTGTAATTGTAGCATCGTGGGAGGCTAAAATAGGGAGGATTTGGGTTCAAGGCCAGCCAAAGCAAAGAACTTCATCTCAACCAATAAAAACTTAGGTGTGGCAGCCAGGTGCCAGTGGCATCCTAGCTACTCAAGAGGTTGAGATCTGAGGATTGTGGTTCAAAGCAACCTCAGGCAAGAAAGTCCATGAGAATCTTATCTCCAATAAGCTACCAGAAAACTGGAAGTTGTGCTGTGGCTCAAGTGGTAGAGTGCTCATCTTGAGCTAAGAGCTCAGGGACAGCGTGCCCAGGCCCAGAGTTCAAGGCCCATGACCGACAAAAATAAATAAATAAATAAAAAATTAGATGTGGCAATACATACTCAACATCTCAGCTTGTTAGTGCAGATGAGAAGGTCACACTGTTCCGATCAGGCCAGGTAGAAACGCAAGGCCCAGTCTCAAAAGTGAATAAAGTAAAAAAGGGCAAAGTGTGTGGCTCTCCTACCTAGCAAGGACAGATCTTGAGTTCAAATACCAGTACATGCAAGAGAAAACAAAAGGTCTGTTTGCTAAAGGCTTGCACAAAACTCCAACGGAAAAGGGAAAAAACAAAACAAAACAAAACACAAAACACAGCCTTTCCTGTCAGTGCATACTATGAGGCAACATAAATACAGACTTCTCCAAATGCAAAGACACATTTTTGTGTGTGTGTTTTTAATCCACTTCTGAAGTGGATTAAGAATGGCATTTTTGTTAACAGGTGGGAAACAAACTCAAAAACAACAGCTGATTCACTCTTGTCTCTACACATCAGACTTCCTAATAAATACAGCCTTTAAAAACTGCATTCCTATATTTTCTGCCCACAGAGAAAGGAATCTATCAGGAAAGAGAGTGAGTGAGAGAGAGAGAGAGAGAGAGAGACAGACAGACAGACAGACAGACAGACAATACCCAAAGCTGGGAGCAGAGGCTCACACCTGCAATTCCAGCTGTTTGGGAGGCTGAGATTGGAAGGATCATTATTCAAAGTCAATCTGGGGAAAAAAGTTTCTAAGACAGTCATCTCAACCAATAGTTGGGGCAGTGATAAATGGCTATCAGGTGTTAACTTTCTGGAAGTGTAAATAAGATCATGGTCCATACTGACCAGGGCAAAAAGTAAGATCTTACTGGAAAATAATATGCCAAGTCTGTATTCCTAGGTACTCAGGAGGCTCAGGTCTGAGGATCAAAGTTAAAAAAAGGCTTGGGCAGGAAAGTCCATGAGACTCTTATCTCTCATAAACTACCAAAAAGTAAAAAGAAAGAAAGAAAAGCTAAAATGGCATTGTGGCTTAAGTGGTGGAATATCAGTCTTGAGTGAACAAACTAAGAGAGACAACCTTGGCCCTGAATTCAAGTCTCAGTACTGGCAGAGAAAAAAAAGAAAAAGCGAGAAAGAGAGAAAACAAGAGAGAATGGGAGAAAAGAACAAAGGAGAAAGAAAGAAAGAGAGAGAGAGAGAGAGAGAGAAAGAAAGAAAGAAAGAAAGAAAGAAAGAGAGAGAGAGAGAAAGAAAGAGAGAAAGAAAGAAAGATAAATAGAGAGAGTAATATAAGCCAAAAGGGTGCTGGTCTGGCTCAAGTCATAAAATATCTCCCTAGCAAGTTCCAGGTTCTAAGTTCAAACCCCAGTACCACCAAACAAAATAAAACAACATCTCAAACATTCCACTAACATAGAAGACAGGCAACAGGAGATGTAGCCACTCATCTCTGAAAGAATCCTAGGCATGTCTCCCGCCCCCACCGCCATGTTTCAGGTCCTCATCCATAAAACTCGTCCATTTGTATAATGTGTAGACCCTTAAAGGAGACAAGAGTTGTCTTAGAATTTAGTTACTTGCCTTGTCTCGGGCACACTAATCCACCAGATGCTTTCATTTTCACCTTTTGGAAAGCCCACCATAGGAGTGACTAGGCCCTCCATGCCTACCCCTGGACTGGAAGCCAGCCGGCCCTGAATCTGTCTCAAATGAAACGGAACTGTTCCCCCACTGGATCCCAGGTTCTTACACCTGGCAGCAGAGAAGGCTCTCTTGCGTGTCCCTGGTTTGCCACTGTCCCGTGGGTATAACGGCTCCACCCCACAGCTGGATGAGAAGGCTCTGGCTTCTCCCATGCAGCTCTGAAGAGGACTGCCAAATCCCTGGTACACGCTGTGCAGGCATGGAGCCAAGAAGCTTGGCTTACGAATCTGTTTTGTGAGAGTGCAGACTTTGGGACCAAAATTGCATAAAGGATTATTTTGGTCTAAGGATGTCCTTAATTAGTCAAGTGGTAACCGTGTTAGGGAGGTTGGACGATTTTTTTTTTTAATTTCCCATGATCTCCTGCACCAATGAGGAGAACACAGCTTTGTGGAGAAAAGAAAAAAAAGAAAAGAAAAGAAAAGCATGTTAAAAAAAAAAAATCAGGAGCGAGCATTTCTAAGAACACTTCGGTGTCTGGGTCTAGTAATACATCTATCAAATGTCCCCAGCCATTTCAAAAACTTGTATGTCTCTATGTAAAGTGCTCCGCTGAATTTCTCAACCTTCTTAAAGGAGCCTCCAGTAGGAGATCTGGCCAGCAAGTGCGACCAACCATGTTACAGACAAGAAACTAGTGCTCAGCCCATGACCAGAAAGATGGAGTCATATAACCACTCTGTACTTCAGACATGAATCGGGCCCCTTAATAAATAACCAAGGTTGTCTATTCACCACATCCTTAGCTACGTGGAGAGTAAATCAGCTAACAAAACTACGTGAATTCCAGACAAGCCAGCCATGGGGATAGCAGGTAGACAAAAGCATGAGAATACATTGGAACTCTTTAGGAGACAACCCTCTCTGCCTTCTTCTATTGAATTAGACACCAGAGACGATGGAGAGCAAGAAAATGTCCAATAGCAACTATCTGTCTTCTCCATGGAGCCCTGTGCCCTCTTTCCTTAGAAGTTGATCCCAGGAACTCAGTTTACATACTTGTGTTCCCCTCTGGGATTCCTATAACCAAAGAACTGCCTTGCTCCATGACAAATTGAGAGCCCAACACTGTTAAGAGCATTCGCCATGCTTGAAGGTCTCGCATTGGAGGACACAGCCATACCACACCAACAAGACTTCCCACGTGGCTGCTCTCTATGAGTGAGGTCTGCTTCCATCCCAGGATCCCCTCAGCACAGCCTTTAAAGGCCATCCATGCAAATACTTGGATGTCCAAAAGCATAAAGAAGCCGAGATGGCTTACAAATGGTTTACAAAGCTTCTGATGTCAAAGGATCAATTTTCGTGCTGGATAGACTTAAAGAAAAGGAGAACGGAGTTTCACATGCTTATTTGTTGTTGCTGCCAACAGAGCTGCTCTCTGGAAGTATTCTGGAAAATTCATA